CACAGAAGGATCGTTAAAATTAAAGCTAATTCTGAGCAAATCTTTCGCTAGAGTTTTAAAGGGTATCAAAGACTCGACCCTCTAAGAAGTTTTTCATCCTAACATTTTGTCACTGCTGCTGCTGCTGCACCGCTTGGGCCTTGCGGGAGTCAAATTGTTCAGAGGATTTTGTGTGGAAGAGGCAACCAAAATAATGAAATAAAATGTGCATTGGGGTTTACTCGATGTTTTGGCTTTATGCAGCGCGGAAGAAGCGCTTTATAATTTGTTTGGTTTTATGGGGATATGGAAATGGGCGGTACAGAATTTAAGGAATTAAGAAGTCGCGATAAACTAAGACTTTCTTCTGTTTTAAGGTCATTGCCACACTTTAGGGAGATTTGCATTTTGTTTGAGATTTTTAGGCATAAGTTCGTTCACTCCTTTCTCCTCAAAAATGTTTTACCCACTTTAAGGGCAGACTTTAAAGTTATTTAATGTTGTATACATTCTATACATTTATACAGTCGCCTGCCACACATTGTTGCATAATGCGGACTGTCCGCTCTCAAAAGCCACAACTCGGCGACTTTTGAATGGCCTCTCCCAATCTCCCTCTCTGTTGAGTGTCTCTGTCTCTCTGACTGTCTGTCGACCGTGTATGGGGTTCCCTTTTGGTGCCACTATATGCCACTCCACCCCCTTCTCCCTGCCCCGAGTGTGTTGCTCCCCTTTTTGGCCTCTCGACACAGTACTCCTCCGTCACTTCCTGCACCTTGTCCCGCTTTGGTCGCCGCTCACATAATTTGTCATGTGAAAAATTACTAAAGTTACAAGATCTGCACTTTTATTTCCATGTAAGCGGCATGGCATCCACGACCACGACCACGTCCACTTCCACGCAGCGTAGATGCAGCAGCAGCAGCAGCAGCAGCAGCAAGAGGCAGCGCGTGTGGCGGCAGCATGCGTGTGTGTGGTGGAGCGGGAGCGGGAGCGGGGAGGTCATCCCTCTGGCTGTTTTGCTATTTTTCTTTTCTTTTCGTTTTTTTGCGTTTCTTTTTTTCGTTACTATTTTGCACATTTTTTCTATTCAACAATGAAGCCACAATAGAAAACGTCAACTAGCGCAGGGAGAGAAGAGAGTAAAGAGAGACAGCGAGAGAGAGAGACAGAAGAAAGAAAGGGCAGAAAGAGATGGTATTATATGCAAATGTAATGCAGAAGAAGCGAGAAGGCAACACTTGGGATGTGCATACAAAACTCTGAACGGATTTTGAATGGCAAACAAGCGGCAAAGCGAACGTCAGCAGTGGCAGTGGCAGAGAATGAGGCAGCAGCAGTAGCAGCAGCAGCAGCAGCAACGACAGCGACAGCGGCGAGCGTCAAGCACAAAGCCAAAACCTCGCTGAACGGAGCCCGAGACCGGGTCCGGGTTTTGGTATGGGTACGGGCACGGGCACGGGACAGGCACTGGGACAGAGCACATGGGCCCGTGAATGGGGCGATGGATGACGACTTGCGCATGAATGGCCCAAGAGTGGTGCTGCTGCCCCACCAGGGAGGGTAAGGGTGGTTAGAGAGGGGGGGCCACTGGATAGACAGACGAAGGCCTATAGAAAAGTGACGTGCGCTTTACAATTATTTCGTAATGCAAGCAAATGTGACCGAGCAGCCGAGCAGCAGAGCTGTAGAGCACCCAACCACCCGCACCCGCACCCGCAGCCGTAGAGAAACAGCGGCCATAGAGTAGCATACGATAGAAGATACACTCGACAAAAATATATAAAAATGCAAGGAACTTGGATACATTTATAGAAAGAGATTGATTAGAGGCAGAAATTGTGGAAAAATGATAACTAATGGAAGATAATTCTTCCAATTCTTTATCTCCTTTCTCTGCTCCAAGATCTTTGTACAGCGATTTTTTTCTGCAAGTGCAGACTAGAGTTTGATGGCAGAGGAATAATCATATGGGGGCACTGGCAGGCAGCATCTTCTTTCCACGCCCCACTTCCAAACGCCCATACGCTCGTGGCTTAGGCAGTGGGTGACAAATGCCAGTCTCTTCGGTGGTTGCACTACTAATCGGACATGTTGCGTTGACTTGTTTATGACTCGTAAGCTTAGTGCAACCGCCCCAGCCTCAAACCACTTCCTTCCCACAGCTCTAAACCACACTCAACCTACACATGGGGGAGGAAGGATTGTCTGTGTGTCTGTCTGAGTAGGTGGGGACTTGTGGGAAATCTGTAAATAGCTGCGAAAACTGTAGTATAAGCCGGCAATGCCATGCCCCTAAGGGAAGATATACCATAAGAGAGGGAGTTGCAGGAGGCAGAAGGCAGGAAGATATGTTGTAAAAGACAAAAGGCAAATGTCATCAAAGCTCTCAATGGGAGAGCACCCGCACCCGCGGGAGTATGGAATGGAGACATCACCCAATGGAATGCCAAACCCACAGATAATCGTAGAACGTAGAGACACCACGGCGAATGCGTAATCTTTTGCAATTTATACAACATTTTTCCAAACGGGTGCAGAAAAACGAAAAGAAACAAATGGAACGACGAACGGAATGAATATCTCTCTTTAAACAGTATTCAGCGTTGACTTTGACTCTTTTACCCCCTCGCTGCACGCTGAAGGCTGCATGCTGCCCACCCAACCCATTCCTGCCACCCCAATCTGTTGTATTTTTTTGCAAATTTACGCGTCACACAGCTGGACGCTGAACGTTGCTCTGCTGGCGGGGTTGTAGGTGGAGGCGGAGGCGGAGGCTTCATACTGATTGCCAGTGTGGGACAAGGTCGTGCGCATTATTTGGTGCAATCGCAATTGGCTGGTAGAGAGAGAGGTGTGTGTGTGTGTGTGTGGCATAGAAGAGCGGGGGGGAGGGCAGAGAAGTGCGTTCGAAGGTCACCTGCGGTGCACAACCCAATGGGACAGCGGCACCCCCATAGACAATGTTGCAAGCAGCAGGAGCAGCAGACGAGAATTATCATGAAATGAATACAAATATTGGTGGATCAGTCAGCATTAGACAAGGGGAAAACAGTGGGCCAGGGGCAAGGGTCAGTGTTGACAAAGTGAAAATCAAATGCTGATGAATGATGAGATCTCGCAAACAAAAACAACAACAAAATAAGTGCCCAGAAAAAATAGAATGAAAAGCAAACGCCAAACGATGAAAAACTTTAAGAGCCACTGGAAAATGATGAATGAGATTGAAATTTAGTTTAAAAAAAATAAAACTATTTTCAAAGAGTTTTTAGCATATTTTCAGCATATTTCTGGACATATTTTCCACACCCCCCATCGACTCGTAACTGTTTTTTCTTTAGTTTTTCCCAACACAAGTTGTGGCCGATATCTCCACTTTTCCATGAAGATTGATTATTTTGCATGGCCAAATCGGCCATGAGACGGAGTTCCCCAAAGGAGAACTCGTGGCGGAAAACAGCTGGAAAATCGCTTGGAAAATGGCTAGAAAAATACCAGAAACATTGATTAATGACAAATTGTTTGCCAGAGTCGAAGGTTTTAGCTACCGTGCCCAAAAAAAATACAAAAATACTTGGATTGGGAGGCCTATTTTCATGAAAAGTGGGTACGATGAGGGGCCGTTGCAGTGCCTTTACTTTGTGCCCTCTTTACCCTTACCCCCTTTTCCCTCTACATTTTCCAGCTGCTTTTCCTGCTGTACTTGTTGTTGCTCGACGCTTCTTCCGTTCTTTGGTTTAGTTTTTCTTTTTAGCTTTACTTTACTCTTTTGTTGGTGGCAGTGCCGCTGCCTGCGCCTGCCTGCCTGCCTGCCTGCCGCTATTGCAGCTCTTGTTGTTGCACATTTTATTAACATTTTCATTTAGTTGTAGCTCCGTCTCTTTCCCTCTGGCAGTGGCTCTGTGTTGCGCGCCTTGTTTTATTTTGCTTTTCATTGCAATTTGTGTTTCTATGCAGTTTTGTGTGTGTTTTACATTCGTTTTTCGTGTCGCCACCAACATTTGCCTCCTCTCATAGTGCATTTTGCTTGCCACACCCCCGCGAGCACTCCCGCAACCCCAGTCGCTGCAGCAGCGCCCTGCACCGCTGCACTCCTCCAGCCACAAACACTGGCTGGTCCACTTCCACTTCCACTTCCCTTTGCTGCCACCGTTGCGTTGTATGTTGTATGCCACTGTTGCGCTCTTTTGCAGTTTGTTGAAGTTTTCATAATCATTGTCGTCGTCGTCGTTACTGCCGCTACCGCTGCCGCTACCGCTGCCGCCTACTTTCGTTTCGGGCACAGAGCCTTTGCCTTTTGTTTTTCCCCCTCATACTCTAAATTCTCTTTGTAAAGGAAAGTTCCTTGGGCTTTAAAGAGGAGTTTGGCCTAGGAATTCGATTGTGCATTTACCTAATTGAGAGCTTTGCTTTTTGCTTCATTTAATGTTATCTTTGCCACAAAATTTAATTTTCTAATTGCAAACATTTCTATCAACAGAATTTTATCTTAAATCCTTCACCGAATTTCTTCTCTCACTTAAAGTGAGAGCATCCAATGCTTCGCTCACAATCAAATATGTACTCCAAATGTTGCATCTTTCTTTTTCCTTTGTTGCATAAGCCATGGGTCTGGGTCTAGACGGGCAAAGGGTGTTGTGGGTGAACCTGTGGGAGAGTGAGTGGGTGAGATTTGTTTGTTCCAGCCTGAGAAACAATGCCCGGGAAAAGCGGCTTATTTTCTATGATTTAAATAATGATGAAGACAACGAGACAACAGACAACATCATTATCATGATGATGATGATGATGATGATGATGATGATGAAGATGAGCAAGTGCAGCGCTGTCACAATGCCACAATGGTGCCACAACAGACGGCACACCGCTGCAAGACTTGGACATGGGCGCGGGAATTGATAAAAGATCTGCTTCTGATTTCTGCCACTTAGCCATAACATTTATCTAAGTTCTTGCTGCTGTTGCACATATGCCTAAAGTATCATTTATCATCTGCCTTCTCTCTCTCTCTCTCGTTGCAGCAAAATGTTCATTGGCGGCCTCAGTTGGCAGACGAGTCCAGGTAAGCCTCAATATTTGTTCTCTTTTACTGAGAGTTAACTGACAATTAGCTGGCGGTTGCCATAATTTGTGGAGTGAATTGCTCTGCCCAAAAGGGGGTCATCATCCATTAACATCTGTGATTCTCTTTCTTCTCACTCCTTTGCTAACAAGAGAGCCAGGAAATTGCTGCAAAATGCGAGAAAATAGAAGAAAAATCAAGAAACTAAGAGACCTTCTGAAGGTTTTCTTTGTGGCATTAAAATGTGGATTGAAATGTCTCTATTTTGTTGAGATTTATGTAGATTTCTCTCAGTTCAAATGGAAAGAGCAGCTCTCTGTCTCTCGTTTCTACAGCTTTGAAGCGGGCTAATCAATTCGCTCCCTCATTGCCTCAGCTCGGTGGAAAGGGAAGGGGGAATGTATCTATTTGCCGTAAATCTAACTGAATTTTGTATCTCAATTTGAATTGCCATACGAATTGATTCCCGTTTTCATCAGTTTTTCTGGTGGTTCGTTTGCTGTGTGTTTGATTTCTCATTGAGAAAACAATGAATCAAGAAATGGTAGCGGCGGAGAGGAGAAATGAAGCAGTTGCAGGGGGTTTTTGTGTTGCCTTTAAATTGAAATTGTAATTGATCAAATGCTTGAGATTTGCTCCCCTTTTTTTCCATTGTGTTGTAGGCCTGGAAGATGCAGATACAGATGCAAATGGGGGCACATGGGAATGGGGCATGAAGGCAGATAGCAGAAGGCAGATAGCAGATAGCAGAGGGAAACGAGGCTCTTTCACTCTGCCGCATAGTTTCATTAGGCTAATCAAAAGGCAGGAGCCAAAACACAGCCTCCCAAGCATTCATATTAACCAAATTTTGGATGGCACTCCAACAGAAAAGAAACAGCAAAAAAGCGATATAGAAAAAAAAGGGAAAAAATAGGAGAAGAGTAGAGATTTGCTACAGTCGTCGTCTGGCAAGATGCGCTTGCCTTTTGGGAGCCCTTTAGAGTCCTTAGAGCCGCCGCCAACACACATCTGCAGTGCACACACACACACACAGATTCACATACATTCGCTTTGTGTTGTTCCTGTTGCTGCTGCTGCTGGCTGGCGTTGGGGTCGAGCGCGCTTGTGTTTTTGTTTAGCGAATTTGTTGGCTCCGCCCATCATCAGAGTGCCACACTCGCGTCGCTCTGTCGTTCTGTCCGGGGGCATTACGCTAACATATTATAACCTATAGCGCATATCTACACACACACACACACACACACACACACACACACACACACACATTCGCATACAATCACACATATGCGGCAGCAATAGTTGAAGAGTCAATGCGGTCTTTGGGTTTGTCTCTTTTTCTCAGTTTTTTTTTTTGTTTCGTATTTTTTGTAGCAGGTCTATAGGGGGAGCCACCGGGCTGTGCAGGGAGGTGGGGTGCTTTTCCTGTACCTGTGCCAAAAAAATTTTCAAATTTTCAAATGGCTTCTTCAATACCAGGCACCCGCCTGCCCCCCTGTCCCGCTGCCGAGTGTAGTGTGCTTTTGCCTCTTGCTCCGCTCTTCTCTCTCCCACCGTAGCCGCTCACTCTGTGTCTCACTTTTGTTATCTTTTGACCATTTTTCGGACGTGTGGTGTATATTTTTTTTTTTAATTTCTATATTCGCTCTTGGCAGCCGCCTTTTGGTCCTCCCAATGGTAAATTAGCCCCAAAACACACACACACAAACCTTCCCCACCAAAACCCGCAAACGATGCTCGTAAAAAAGTGTCTCTCTGTATTTGGCTCTGGCGAAAGGAAACTCCTTGGAGACAGGGCCAAGAAGTCAATTGGAATGGACTGGAAATAGCAGGCGGGGTCAATGAGTGGCACGTGCAGCAGGGTGGGAGGCAGGGGCGTATTGGCTATCAATCGCTAATTTAAATAATGACACACAAAATTGCTAGACAATGAAGTTGCAGAACTACGGAGTATTCATAGACGAAATGAATATGAATGATAAATAGCACTTTAGGTAGTGGGAATTGTGGCAAGATGAAGCTTTACGGATAGGTTTGGTATCGTTTCTGTTAGGTTTAGGTTGGATTTTCTTCCAAATAATCAGTTAAAGAATCGATTATGCAGCTTTTAGGCTCAACTTATATCAGAATTAACTGCAAAACCCCGCAAAGCCTTGCCTTGCATCACGACAATTCAATTAGCTAACATTTTGGGCACGAAGAACCCAAAGTCCGAGCCTCAGACATTGTCTTGGTCTTTGATTTCGTTGCACCCCCGCAAGGCTGCTTTGTGTGGCAGTTGCAGTTGTAGTTGTTGTGCCCCTTGCCAAGGCAAGTCTCCTTCACTTGTGTCCTGTTCTGGTACTGATGGCGCAGGCCGGAGCAGTGGGGCCTGTGCCTCAAGTGGGCTGCTTCCACTTCCACTTGCGCCAAAAGCTTATGCTTTGGATTTTTCGCAGCTATCGCCACTCGAGCACACAGTTGCAGCCAGCAGCCACACGAGGCATATGGCATATGCCTCTCCTTCGCTACAGTACACACTCGAAAATTTGCTGACAAAGACCTAATCTAGGGCGTCTATAAACATGCGCCATGGACTGGGGCTGGGGCTGGGGCTGGGGCTCGAGCTTGGGTCTAACAGCATAGTTAGTGGCTGCTTTAGACAGGTCGACGACGACAGCAGAGGCAGAGTCAGAGTCTGTGGAACGTGTTGATAGCGCCAGAAGATGTAAAGGGAAAAGCATCCGCATTGCAGCGCCTCAGCTTCAGCCACTCATGAAAGCGTTTGACTTTAGCTTGCGCCCCCAAAGATTTTTAATGATTGGCACGATTGTCTTTGCAGCTACTTAATGATGTTCTTAGGTGCCTGCCACCCACTGCACCCAGCGCAGCCTCTTGCCTCGTTTTTCGTGTCAACTACCACCATGTCACGTCATCTATAACTTAATGAACTTTTGCCAGAAGCGATAGAAGCGTCATTCCCCTTGCTTCCCAGCTGCGAGGTCTCTCGCGTAGTAATTTAATTGTAATTTCGCAAGCAGTTTGCTGGAAATAATTGTATGTGCATTGACGAAATGTATTTGGCGCTGCTATCGCCGGGAAACACTCGTTCATTGCCCGCCGGCAAAGCTTCAGACTCTGACTCTGGGTCTGACTTTTGGGGCTACGGATTTGCGGATACAGAATAGACTTCTCTTGCTCTGTTCCATTCACACATTCAGAGAGAGAGAGAGAGAGAGAGGGAGAGACATTCAAGTGAATGAAAGGCCGCTGGGGCTGGGCTTTTGTCTCAACGGCAGACACGACTTCGTCTCTGATTTTGTGTCAATTTTAACAACATTTTACGAAATACAATACGAAAGAGGTTGCCCCTGCCCCTGCCCCTGCCCATGTCTCTGTGTTTTGCTTTTGCTATTTTGGATGTGCGTTCAACTGAAATACTATTTATATATGCACCAAAGATACAGATACTCTCCGTATCTCTGTATCTGTATCCGCCAAGTACATTTGCATCTGCAGCAGCGGCAGCGGCAGCAACAGCGGAGGAGATGCCCCATTACTCATGCAACAAATAACCAAATAAAAAGTAGAAATGGAAACGTAACGAAACACTGGAAATCTATGGCACACACATCGTGGCCATCGAGAAGAATGGAACCTGGGAACATACTTTGGGCAAATAAATATGCATTTGCCTCCACGCTTGCCTTTTATTATTATTACTGTGTTTTTGTGTGTTTGTTTGTCTGCCAGCTTCAGTGTCATGCAAATGAAAATGAAGCTCAGGCCCAGCCCAGCCAGCCCTTCGAGGAAAATCTCTAGCAGCCACGGCTGCCCTTGCTGTTTGTTTGCATCGAGCATTATGACTGTGTGCATATCTGGAGCTTATATACCTCTTCCCACAGCACACTGTCAATGCCTCAATCCTTCACTCCTTGCCCTTTGACGCCGCCGAAATTGTCCAGGTAAAGTCAATAGCTGAAGCTGCTGAAAAGAGTTCTAAAGGTTTTGCACTTGCTACAGACAGTGTTTGATACTTGTGGGTGTGGGATTGGTACACAATTCGTGGCTCAAAGCAGCTCAAAGAAGCTGTTGCAGGATGCTTGAGAGATGCAGAGAGATGCAAAACAAATAAAGGAAAGTTCAGTTTATAGGCATACTTTACACATTTAATGAAACGCTTACCAGAAAGGTTTTCCTTGCTCGGTTTTGGGCCCTTTTATGCACCGCCTCTGCCTCACATCAATTAACGAACTCAATTTAAATCTTTAACTATCAATCTTAACCAGTTTTTGAAGCAAAGTTTCGATTGCCAATTCGCATTTCAATTTGCTTGGGCTAATACTTCCTGCCTGCCTGCCTCGGCTGGCTGGCTGGCATTCCAGTGCCACATTCAAATTTGCCCTCCAGCGAGAGAGTGGAATTCAATCAGGAAACAAACGATGATGACAAAATATTCCTGTGCGCTCCTGCTGCACCAGATTCTATATTTAAAATCTAAAAATTGTCAAAATTGTTTGTTAGCAAAGTAACGCCCAGGTGGGCGGCAACCTCAGGATGCAGACAGAGAGACAGAGGGGGAGCATGGCCGTTGCTTCGTTCGATTTCCTGATTAATTTATGGCACTCTCTCTCTAGAGAGAGAAGCAAAGAGAGAGAGCGTGCGAAAGAGAGGTAGATAGAGGCAGTTAACAACAAATTGCCGCAAGCAGCCGTTCAAATTGAAAAGCTGGCAGAAAAAATACACAGAAGTGCGGAGAAAAAAATGCAAGGAGAGAGAAAATAAAATTGTCAATAAAATAAGTGCCGGACGGTTGGGCCAAGTCCTTAAATAACCATCCATCCAGCCATTGCCCTTACTCACTTTTTCTCTGTGTGTCTCTCTCTCTCTCTCTTCTCTTTCTCTCTCTCTGTCGTGCGTCCATCAGTCAAAGTTCAGTGGTTTTGCCACAGCTTCTTAGCATTGAATTTGTCCGTGCAACATTTCCTGTTTCGCTTGGCAGTCCCACCATCCCTTCCACC